AATTTTGTGAATGCGAAATTTCACGTGGGTGTCAATAGCATGTTTGAATAATGGCATGTGGCCTCATGCTATTGAGGTTGTTTGGTATGTTATGATTTAGGCCATTCTCCAATCATTTTTTGTATGGTCTTAACTTCTTTTCTGCACTTTCAGAATGGCCTTCAGGGTTGGGGAAAAGGTTTACATTTTGAATGGTGGGAAGAGAGTTGCAAAAGGGACCCTTGTGTCTATGGATCGGAACTTTGTTATACACTGTCAAAGGCTTGGGGAAGGCAATGCTGCTGTATCAGTAGAGACTGTCTTCGATGGGAATGTGGTCGCTATTGAACGAGGAGAGATGGTCGTCGGGGTAAATGTTGTTGTTGCCTTGAAAAATCTTCAAAAGAAAGCAGATGTTGGGGACAGCGCAAGTGCAACGCATGTTCCCTCCGTGGATCTTAAGAACCGTGCTACATGGATTCAGGCAAAAGTGTTTCTAAACAACCCCGAGGGGGAGGTGGTAGCTGAGGGCTTAGCCACAGTTGTCGATCCAAGAGATGCGGTTGCTAATCAAGAATTGGGCTGGGATGATATTGGAGTTGCGATTTTAGAGGTTGTTGACACAGAAGAAAACAGTCTGACTATTGGAAGCATTGTGTGGTGGAAATTGAGGCACTTAGTGTTTGAGAATGTGAAGGATTCACAATCAAACACCACTACAACTGATGACAGAACATCTCTTCATGGGAAAAGAAAGTACACCTTCCTAAAGCGCAGCCAAAGGGATCTGAGCAACGAACCGAAAAGGCAAAAAATGGCGATGGAGGTTCGAATGGTCTCGACAGTTGCTTGTTGCAAGAGGAGGTGCTGTCAACATGCTGATTGGGATGCTATTGAAGAGAGAGAGCAAGATACAAGACATTGTCCTGGAAGGCAGCTCGCAATTTTGTGTATGAGGCATTACGGTCATCTGTTGATGCTTCAGAACATCAGGTGGGGGGCATGGTCTTCCAGAGGGGTTTGGTCTGCATGAAGGCATGGAGAATCATTTATGGAGTCCCTCGAACCACATTCTACAGAATCAAAACTGAGTTCGAGGAACAAAGGGTTCAACAGGCAGTCCATGGGAACGACGGTATGCACAAAACCAGGGGTCATGTTGTATATGGAGAGGCAATCTTCAAGAGGTTTGTCGAGACATGTAGCGAGCAGCAACCACATAAAACCCGCCTCTTGGAAGATGGAACACGAGACACCCAACGAGTTCTCCCTTCCATGTATACCAAGGGGGCCATATTGGAAGATGTGAATCGGGAACTCTAGAGTAATGGCTACAGGAAGCTGAGCCAATCTAGATTTAGTAGATTGTGGAGCAACAGGTTCAGGGATGTGAGTATAGGAAAGTACTCCAGCTTTTCAAAGTGTGACGAGTGCACTGCTATCAAAATGGCTTTGTCGAAGAATTCTTGCAGCGCTCAAGAGCGAGAGAGTTGGTTAGAAGGCGGCTCGACCACAACATCGAGCAGAGAAGCTGCAGGACTGCATATTATCATAACAGGATTCTCTCCATGGAGAGACCTGACTCTTACCTCTGCATCATCCACGACAAAATGGACCAGAAAAAGACGTGCTTACCTCGACTCAATCTTGCCCCCAAGGCAATCTCTTCATCCATGCAGCTGCCTGTGTCTCTGTTTGGCATAATCGCTCATGGGCATGGTGCCCAGAACTATGGGAACTTCTTTGTACCTCTATGGGGTGGCGGGGGTGCAAACATGATGATTGCGTCCCTAGCAAAACACTTAAGGTCTCTGCAAAGTGCGTAGACTGAGCTGAACGGCCAACCCTTGCATAAGGCCCTTGTCGATCGAACCCCATACAGGGTTCAGCTGGAGGAGGAGCAAAGGCTTGCAGTATCGCGTGGGGCCCCATGCCATCCCAGTGAATATGTTGGCTGTCAGATTGTAGGGTTATCACGTGAGGCCTCATGCCATTCCGACGAGGCTGGTCGCCCGGTGAATGCACAGCCTCATCCAAACGAAGCAGAATCTCAAGGAAGTTTTTGCGGCCGATGTGGCCTTCCACCCCATCTTCTGCTCCAAACAGACAATGCTGGCAGTGAGAACAAAAACATGTACGTCTTCGCGTACTTGGCGATGCTTGTTGCCAAAGGCATATTTGAAACGGTTACACTTGGCTTTCTCATGGTTGGGCACACTCATGAAGACGTCGATGCCATGTTCAGTCACCTGGCAGAGTCCCTCCGGCGATCCAATGTCCTCACCCTCCCACAACTCTACGATGAATTCCAAAATTGCATCAAAGGCACTGTTGAAGCTGCACTTCTGACAGAGGTTCCAGACTTTAAGGGGTTTGTAAGAGGCTACATCAGGGACGGATCCGAAACGCTGATTGGCCACTCCAAGCCTCTTCAGTTTCATTTCAGCATGTGTGACGGTGCTCCAGTGATGAGGTACAAGATGAGAGAATGGGACACAGTGTGGCTGCCAGTGGACGGCATTGAACTCTTCAAGAGAGATCCCATAACTGGGGAACCTATGATTCCTCAGGGTTCCCCACGGCCGATGCACCCGGATGGACTCAAAGACCAGGAAAGTATAGTGGCCGGGATTAGACAGCATATTGCCTTCTGGAAGAGGGGGTTGGTGTTTGGTGGAGAATCCTATTTTCAGAGGTGCAAGCCTTTACTCGAATACTGGGAGAAGATTATATCTGCTATCCAAAATGGGCCGGTTGTATATGAAGAATTGGAAGAGTCCTTTTGGCCAGAACCCAGAGCACTAGATAGTAGCGGAACAATGTCCTCTGGAAATGCAGTGACAGATAACGATGTTGAGGATCACTATTATGGGCCGAGGAACAAGAAGCCGGATTCAGCATTCAATCCAGTACAGGTTTGCAAAGGAATGGTCGTGCTTGTCAGACCCAGTAATAAAAAACAAATGATATGGGTGGGGCGCTGCATCACTAATGCAAAGGAGGACGCGGAAACTAACTCCTTCAATGTAACTGTGGAGTGGTTCAAGCCAAGTTCCGGATATACGAACGATTGCCTAGAAAAGAGATGGGTGCTGAATCCAAGGGATCCCAGCATGAGCATATCGGTGGATAATGTTGTGCATGGTTGGATGCGGAAGCAGAGTGCCACCATCACCTTGCCAGACCATGCAAGAGATGCAGCAAGAGCATTCATAACCCGGGTTCAAGGTGAGATTCATTAATATTCCTTTACTAAGTTTCTAATGTATTTTATTTCAAGGTGAACAATCCGAATCTGAATCAGAGGAGGCGTGATGGCATGTGGCCTTACGCCATTCCTAGGTGAGATGATACAAATAACAAGTATAAATTCTTAGTTGTTCTAGCAAATCTTACTTAAAGTTCAAGGTGAACAAGCCGAATATGAATTCATCGGATTGTTATAACAAATTGCGAGGTGATGGCATGAGGCGATACGCCATTTGAGAGTGGTAGCCATTCCTATATGAGGTGAGTGAAGTATTTATTAGAAATACCTCATTCAATTGTGCACTTCTAAGTCTTGGTCCACTTAGTACTGTTTGCATGTTTTTATTTTAATTCTTTCTCTAAAATGTTATTTAGCATGTGGCTTCATGCCATTGCTCTCCACAATCATGCATTGAATTTCTATCCTTGCATAATACTTCTCCATATATATAGCATGTGCGCACATGTGATATGGTTCATTAGGCCTGATATAGTGTGTGAGGTAAAACAAAGATGATGTGACATATGCATTTACCAATCACACGTGCATAAATCTAATAATATGGCGTGTGGCCCATATTAATGGCACATAAACCCATATTGTGGGCTTACGTGCTTTATGTACCATCATTCCCTTGCAGCGTGTGTGTTGGTTTCCTTTTATAACACAACGAACTCCATATTTTAGGGTGAAGAGCGTTCTCATGGCAAGCACAAAATCTGTAAGTGAGGCAGAAAAGGAGATGGAGAAGGAGATAGGTGAAGATGTAGAATATATAAGTCTTCCAAACTCCCCGTACTATACTCCAGGTGATCATTTTTCTGAACAAACGGCAACATTAACAACTATCGAGAACGCCCCAGTAACGTCAGAGACAACAATCCAAAGCAAAACAACTGACCCGGAGAAGGATGATAGTACCGCTGAGAGTACCAAAAAGGAGGTGTCCACTAGCGCTTAGGCTTATAATGGCGTGTGCCCTCATGCCATTTACTTGATCACCAAATACCTTTTTCCCTTTGCACTAGTATATCTTAATACCGGTCTGAGAAATAGAATGGCATGTGCCCTCAGGCCTTTTACTAAATCACCTTTGAAAAAAATACAAGCCTCTATGTCGTAAAAAAAAGGTACTAGAGAAATTCCTTAATAATATGAATGTTATTTAGTTTCATGAAAATACACTAAGGGTCAAATGAGTTAAATGACTTCTCCAGACTAGCAATGCCTCTTGCTACACCTTCACAATTAGATTCGTTAGAAAAAGATAACATTGAATAATATCTAAATGTTCTCACCATTAAGTTATATGTCTGGCTAATAGGAATGATGTTCATCTTGGAAAGCTCACCACACGCTCAATGAACAAACAAATAGTGTGTGCGCGCATGCCATCGCTCTTCTTTAGCTTCAGATTCGGCTTGTTCACCTTGACAATGAGATTTATTATACAACTAGATGGACTCAGTCTGGACATAAGGTCACCGCGCTAGTCACCATGCCCCAGATATGTCTAGCCCCTGGACAAAAAACATATAATTTCACGTCATTTTCAAATACTTGAAAATTTGTACCTAGTCCCATTTTACTGAATAAATCCCACTTTAACGAAATAGAGCATATCACAGTTTTGTCTCTCAAAGACTAGGCCATCCGTCCATGAGTGATCATTTTATATCCACTCCTTAGCATCCTCAGGATGCTTACAGACATGGGGAACAACCTTCCCCAATATCCTTTTTACAGTCCCTACTAAGTCCCTTTCTTATCCATGGCCGTATTCGCCAACATTGCCACTGGGACAAAGCCCACAAGCCTAACCATTAAGTCCCACTGCCCTCTGGGGCTTCCTCACCACATGACCGTATCCATGATCACTACACCAGAGAACCACTCCTATTCCTTTCCATGGTCTGGGGCTTTGGGACAACATTTCGGAACACCATAGCACTACACGAGCCTCATGGGTATTCTCCCCACCTTCCACCTTTGGGTGCTTTAGCCATGGGCTTAGAGGAAGGTTTTGTTAAGCCATGCCAGGCATCCAAGTAAGTAGTGCCACCCATGTTTGTACTGGAAGCATTGACCATTCAATTTCCCGGGGGAACTAGAGCTAACTCTTGAACACTTCACCAAGCTACCCCACTTGTCTGTCCATATTCACTCTAGCCTTGGATTTCCCAATGGTTATCCCATCACTTAACACTTGGGTATGGCCTTTCCTAGCCAAATTGGCTCCACTAAAGTCCAACCCCCCCACACTCTCCCTACTATACTTTTGGAACCTCTTGTAGCGCGCCCCCCCCCCCCCCCCCAGGGGACGATCGTTTTGGGCTTTCACCCAACAGCTTGTATTAGTATTCGGACTCGGACTTGGTCTCGGTCTTGGCTTCGGACTCGGACTCGGTCTCAGTCTCGGTCTCGGTCTTGGTTCCATCTCGGACTCCATCTCAAACTCCATCTCGAACTCCATCTCGGGTCCATCTCGGACTCCATCTTGAACTCCATCTTGGACTCTATCTCAGACTCCATCTTGGGTCCATCTAACACTTCATCTCAGGTCCATCTCGGACTCCATCTCAGACTCCATCTCGGGTCCATCTCGGGTCTATCTTGAACTCCATCTCAGACTCCATCTTGGGTCCATCTCGGACTCTATCTTGAGCCTATCTCGAACTCCATCTCAGACTCTTTTATGTGTCATGTGTTGGTCCTCTTGTGTCCCTTTTTTAGAGACTCACTTATTGCTCGCTTTGTGCTTGTTCCTTGAGCGCTTCGTTAGGAGTTCCACTCTTGCTCTTGACCTTTCAAATCAGAGCTTTTAGTCCAAACGTGTTACGCTTGTTTGGTTTTCACTTTAGCCACTACCACATAACACCTTTTCGGCTCCACTTTGGAGCTTAGGGATTTGTGTCTCACAATTACTTCCTTCTATGTTTCCATCTTGTTCCACTCTTCCCTTTTTCGATCCCTCTGACGGTTTTTGTGTTCCAATGGTTGACTTGCTCATGAAGGAGTATGCCGATCTCTTTGAATTTGACCTATTTTTTGAGGCCAAGATTGCCACATATCATCTGATTTCAACTAAGGATGCTTGTACAATCAAGGTTTTTATTTGTCGTTGGTCACCCAAAGAAATCAAGATTTCAAATGCAAATATCAAAAAGATGTTGGAAAATGGTGTTATTCAAAAGTCGTAAAGTCCTTGGACATATGAACCTCATCTAGTGACAAAGCCTGATGGGAGTATTTGTTTCTATATTGACTATAATCCATTAAATAAAGTGACAATCCTAGATATGTACCCTCTTCCTCACACTGTTGATCTCTTGGATTGTCTAGGGAAAAGTCGTTAGTTCACCAAGCTAAATCTTACTTCTAAATACTAGCAAATACCAATGGCTAAAAAAGATATTCTTAAAATAAATTTTCATATATCATTTAGTTTGTACAAGTTCTTAATGATGCCGTTTGGTTTGAACAATGCTCCAGTGACTTTCCAGCAGAGGTTCTTTATGATATGCCGAAAGTGATTGCTGAATTCATTGATGATGTTTTGATTCATTTGAAGGGGACATGGGAGGAATATGTCTCTGATATTCGTAAAGTGTTGGATTGGCTACGAGAAGTTGGTTTAAAACTGAAGCAATTGAAATGCGTGTTTGGGTCCAAGGACACGACTTATCTTGGGTTCCGTATTTCTTATGAAAGCTTGCAAGTTGATCTTAACAAACTTGTGGCTATTTTAAAGTTCCCTACTTTGAAGTGTATGAATGATGTGCAACGCTTCCTAAACAAAGTGTAGTATCTTAGTCGTTTTGTGGATCATCTTTCTGATCACATTGCACCATTGCGAGCATTGCTAAAGTTATCAACATCATCTTTTATTTGGTTTGCAAACTGTGAGTAGGCATTCATGTATTTCAAAGAACTATTGACAACTCTTTCAGTTTTGGCATATCCTAATTATACTCGATCTTCATTTTGCGCGGGGATGCTTTTGATATTGGTCTTGGAGGTGTGTTGATGCAAGAGAGCCCGAATATGCCTGCTCAATGCCATCCCATTGCATATATAAACTATACATTACAATTAGTAGAAGAGAACTACTCTACAACAAAAGAGTGTTTAGTAGCAATCTGAGAAACTTTATGCATATCTACATGGTTCTTGGACGTTATTGGAAGGTGATTATGCTGCCATTACTTCATTATTAAAGCAAAAAAACCTAGTTGGTCATACTACTCAATGGGCTTTGAAGCTTTAGATATATAATTTTGATGTTGTTCATTGCCTGGGGAGTTCTATGGCTAATGCTAATGCCCTTTCTCGAACTCCTCTTCCTTTTTCACTCTCTTCTCATATTTTTGATGAGCCTATTATTCTAGCATTTATTGTGGATTTAGAAGCTTCGAGATGAGTTTGAGAATCCTGCATCACTTGTTAATGACTTGCCATTCTGGCATTTACATTCTGAATATCACTTTGAAAATAGCCTTCTTTATTTTGTGGGGACAAATCCTAATGATCATTTATTGCTAGTGGTGCCTTCAATCTTTATTCCACGGTTTCTCTATGTTTACCATGACTCTGTTATTCTAGGCGGCCATATAGGACATCATCGTGTGACCAAGAAGCTGCATAAGTCTTTGTATTAACCAAAGATGCAACGTAATGTTATTTGGTATATGCATAGCTGTATTTGGTGCCAAACTCGTAATACTCCCCCTCATGCTGCAAAAGGACAACTAGAGTCAGTTGCAATTTCCCATCCATTTAAATTGGTGGTGTTTGATCTTATGGGAGTTTTTCACAATCAACTACTAGCAATGAGTATATTATTATTGCTTCTAACTATTTGACTCATTGGGTGGAAGTTAGTGTTTTTGCTAGCATCTCTGCAATTGTTGTTGGATACTTCCTCCTTAATTGAGTTGTGTTTTAGCATTCTTGTCCAAAGCAGATTCTTTTAGATAATGGTCCCATATTTATGGCTAAAACATTTCATGTTTTGACATCTCGGTTTGGGATATGCCACACTTTCACTAGTGCTTATCATCCATAATCAGACGGTTTGGTGGAATGGCTTATTCAAACATTCAAAAGGATGATCACGAAATACGTAAACTTTCAGCATTCAGATTATGATGGTTATTTGCTGTCTCTTTGGTATGCATATATCACAAGGGTGTAGAGTTCTGTTAGCGCTTCATTATATAAACTTCTATATAGTTATGATCTAATATTACCAATGGAGTTGGGTTTACCTTCATAATTGTCACGAGCTGCCGATGCTAAGTTATGGGATCAGTATTTGACAAGCATTCTTCCACTTATCCGAGTAAAGTCTACCAAACACCTAGGCTACATACAATTGAGACAATAATAGCACAATAACTCCTATTATCATCCAACTGCAGAGTACAAAGTAGATGACTTAGTATTAGTCTATTTTCCCCATTTTATGGTGTGTGGTTTATCTAAAAAGCTCCTTGCTTAGTGGAAGGGATTATATCAGGTGTTGCAACATGTTAGACTGCAAGTTTATGATGTTTAACATGATGTCCAACAGGCTGATCCTCTAGAAATTGTGTATGTGTAGCAGTTGAAACACTTCATACAAAGGGATTAGGAACAATTGGTACCACCTACAGATCCACTGATGCCTCCTTCTGATGTTCCTCTGGATCCCGACTCATCTACAAGAAAACTCCTTGTCCTTGGACTTGAGCCATAATAGCATCAACTTCCATTAAAATAAAACCATCGCACACAAAAAATGGAGTTGAAAGACGTGCGGTAAGAAGTGGAAGAGGAAACATCTCATAACGTTGTGTCAAATGAAGAGCATCATCAATGGTGGCTAGAGCAAGTACATACACAATTTTGACAAGATCAAGATAGTCCTAGCTTGATTTGCTGTAACATATTTCGCTCCCCACAAAGCGAGAAGCTTTAGAAACGAATTTCAAATTGCATCACTGACTCAAATGGCCTTTGATGAGGATGATACAATTATTAAAAGGCATTATCACAATCGTTAGTATATCCGAATGCGCGTTTGAAAATATCTAAGAGAACACTCTAATCCCCACAAGTGATTGTGCTCAAAATTGTACCACGTGTTATGAATATTGCCATCAACTGAGTTTAGTTGTTCAATTGCAACTACATAGTATTAAGCAATTGCACAAATTGCTACTTCAGAGTCAAAGAAGGAGGAGACTATTGCTTTGCCCTGAAGATGAATAAAAAGGAAAGAGCAAAAGAAGAGAAATAAGAAAAAGTTAAAAGGAAAGGGAGATCTAAACCAAAATCTTAAAAAGAAAGAATAAAAGAAAGAAAATGGAAAAAGTTAAATCTAAATAATGCAAAAGTTAAATTTAAACCAAAATCCCAAATCCAAGCACTCTCAAGGACAATAAAAAGTGCTCTTCATCTCCACTAATGTGAGTGCATGAAATAAAGAAAAAGAATACAAAAAATATGCATATCAATTAACCCAAAGATATTAATTTATATATAGGAGTAAGTGGTCCAAATTGAAACCAATCCAATGGCTACCACCTCATAACATGAAAAAACAAATATTTCTTTTTCAATAGTAAATTATTAATATTTTTTGCTCAAATTAAATTCTGAATAACATAAATGAAAAATTTCAAAGAGATCTTATTTAAATCTTACTCATATTAGCTCATTTTACAACACCTTGATGCCAGTGATGGCTACTTATTTCTTTCAGATTTATCTTGATCAGTTTTACAGTTAAAAGTGATTCTGCAGTGCTTAAAGATTACCTTTGCTCTTGGGAGCAAACTTGGATGGGCACACTGAAAATGCAAGCCGCCGTGCGGCAAATGCGAGAGTGAAACGCTCCTCTTCGGTGAGCAATCTCTCAATCACTTTAACCGTTTGATCGACATTAAAGATATTGATTCTTTATAGGATTTGAGGTAGGATATATCAATTATTGATGATTCTTTTTGCACTTGTTATGAAGTGAGTTATATTTTATTATGCATAGATGGATTTATGGAGGATTTGTTTGGTGATCACTTATTAAGCATAGCTTTGTTGTGTTTAGCTTTTGGATTGATGTAAAAATACTTTTCATTAGCTTTACATTATGAAGTTTAACTTATATATGTGTTGAGGATATTGTGCGTTACTTCTTTAGCATTGAAATTAGTTCATACAAGACTTATGATCATTGTTAGGCAAGACTTGGCTATAAACTTCTTCAACCTTTTGGTTTTTTGAGTTTTATATTTATTGTTTAATTTATTAGAAGTTGTTGGGGAAGGCATTTTTGGTTTATTAACTTTGATATTGAAGTTAGTATTTACATCTGATAATCATTAGTGATGATTAATTATCATTTAAGATAATTGATTATTCTTGTCAAAAGTTTTTCTTAATTATTGTTGATTTAGAATGATTTGTCGTTCTTTAAGATGGTGGATTCTTTTTTTGACAATGATTATATATGTCTTTATTAATGGGATGATTGATGGTCTTTCATGATAGTTAATTATTCTCTTTGATGGCTTTTGGCTTTTCATATTACCACATATTCTTTATGGTTTGGTTTGGTTTAGCTTTTTGGGTTTGAGATATTGGTAGAATGTTGCTAACGCTTGTTTAAGCAATTTAAGTTCCTTTGTATTATTGATTAAGATTAATTTAAGCTAGCTAATGTGATAGTTGGCATAAATAAGTATTTGTTAGTCTTGCCACATTCATTTTGTTCTATTGATTATTTTTATAGTTAGTTTTAATAGATTGGATATTATTTCCTTTGGATGATACATTCACGAGCATTTTACTTACCAATCAATGATACTTTCTGTTCTTTGAGTTATTTTACGTAAGTTGTTTAGCATATTATTTGCAATCTTCAATAGTTTAGTTTTATTATTGAGTTTTGTTAATGATATACTAGGTATTGAATTTTGTTTAATAGTGATAATGATCTTGGTGGTTTTTGTACTCTAATACTGGTTTATTGGATGATAAATTACTTAGAAAACTTTTAATCTAAGATTTATTCATTGATATTTAAGTCTTTAATATATCATTATCTATGACTTTAATATTATCCATCTCTTGATCTTTCCATTTGAAGGCAAATTGGCTTCGGCACTTTGTGTGCATTATGAAATCTTTAATTATGGGGTAGCTACTATCACCTGCCTCTCTATTGATGTCCCTTATATCATTAAAAGGGTGTGACCATGTGAACAACTCTAATTGCTTATTTACAATACTCTATCTAAACTTTATTGACTAGTTTAATTTCTTTGCTCATAAAGGTTAAAGTTTATAGCTTCTCTCTTTATGTCACATGTGGGTAGGGATATATCACTCTTTTGTAAGTTAAATGACACAAGAGTAGCAAGGGTGGCTAACTTTGTTAGTCATTTTTTTGTCAATGATGACCAGAAGGTGTCTAACTTTGTAATGCATTTGTGTTAGACAACAAGGTTACCCTAAATCATAAGTTGGTGCATTTCTCATATAGTGTCATCACTGTGAAATTTTTCTAAAGTTGTTTCCTTGGTAATGGTCTAGACTACAGTGCGCATCGATGAAAATGTTGATCTTCCCTAAGAAGGGGAAAGTGTCACGAATAAAATTACATGTATTGAAAATTACTTATTAATTAGTCCTTTTGAATATTTTTTCCTTATTACCACAATAGTGAAAGGTTGGTATTGTTAGTTCTTTTTTCAACCCCTCTTGTTCAAGTGTTAGTAAATTAGGCTTAAGATTTGTACTTAGCCAAATGAATAACTTTTATGCATTTTTTGTTAAGCATACTCAATTTGGCTTTAGTTCTCTTTTACTTTATATTGTAGTGGCTTGACAAAAACCCTTGTGTATTGAGATTAATCCCTCAATATTGCCAAATGATAATTTATCATGTCTACTAAACACCTTCACTCACCCTATGTGTTAATCTTGTTCAGTCCTAATTACTATTTATTGAAAGTGGGGGGGCGGGGGGAGGGGGTGGGGGGGTTGTGAGATAGTAGGGATAATTGGTTCAAGGACTACTCCCAGTTCCAGCATTTGATCCACGCTCATTGCAGTGGCAAAAACGCAAAGGTACGTGTTTGGCTAAGCAAGGCACTGGTTTCCTCATGTAGAGGAGGAGTTCACACTAGATTTTGGAACTTGGATGTGGCAACTCGCGCATGAGCGAAGATATGTACCAAGACGGCTTCACGGACATCACAGCTACTGATCTCTCGCCTGTGGCTGTGGAGAGCAAGCGATGGAGATGCTTCGACTTGAACTATGGTATTCTTCTCGGCATTTCTTCTTTTCAACTTTGTCATTCTTGTCTCTCCAGGCATCAAAGTTCTTGTAGCTGATATCATGGACATGCCATTCAAGGACGCGAGCTTCGACATTGTGATCGAGAAGGGAGTGATGGTATGATACAGAGATAGTGTTTGTCTTTTATATCGGATCAAAATTAAAGGAACAAACAGGATGTTCTCTTCGTGGACAGCGGGAGTCCCTGGGATCCAGAGCCCCAAACAAGAGCCCGAGTTGACGTGACGCTCAAAGAGGTACACCGAGTTCTTGGAGCGAATGGTGTTTTCATCTCAATAGCATTTGGCCAGGCAAGAAAGACTTTGATCTTAGAGCTTCTACTCTCTTTTTAACTCTTTGCCTTGACAGCCTCACTTTCGGCGCCCCTTTTTCGAGGCCAGTGGCTTCGAGTGGTCCATGGAGTACTCAACCTTTGGAGACTCGTTCCACTATTATTTTTATACGCTAAGAAAGGTAGTCTCTTTCCTCCCCGGTCAAACTTTTAAACACTCTAACATCGTTTTACCAGGGAATGGCCAGAAAGGTTTTGCCTCGAGACTCGATGGAAATCACAAGCATTGACATGGTGCAGGAGCAAATGGATGACGAAGATTATATCATGAGAACCATGATGGTCGACGACGACAAAACCACGTCCAGTTGATCGATCATTTCAAAAAATATCGATAACTTCCACCATGTTTCCATGCTGTGCATATGCCTTGATCACGACACCGGATCCTTACGCGAACTCTTGCAGCTCTCAAAAACGTTCCTGGCATCGCCCACGAATCCAGCTCCAGCCAGCATCTTCACGACCACGGGCGTTTTGTCCACTACCTCGGACTCCAGACGGACCGCCTGTGCATATATCTATCTTCTGGAAGCGGAGGCCACCTTTGTGAGAATGCCAGAAAGAAACGTCTGGACTGCCAGGATCGGACGTTCCGGTTGCTTGATAGTCTTGGACACAGTGCCCCATGATAGCGTGGTGCTCGAGCTGTGGGGATTGCAAGCGTGCTGCTACGTCGGTTTGGCCCTATGAGACATTGTTCTTGAGCGCTCTTCTTGCTTGCAAGCACTGCGGCGATTTGGACCCCAGATGGCGCTGCATCGACTTTGGCGTGCTGCCACACTAGAGCAGCGTGCTGGTCGGCGGGGTGTGTGGTGCGAGTGGGTGCTCGCCAAGGATTTGGCCCGCCATGCGACAATGTTGCCTGGACGGCCTTCACTGCATGCTAGTTACACGATGGGGATATAGGCTGTGAGAGAGTTTTCGGGCCCTTAGGACCTCGAGGACATTGTTCTGAGAGGAGGGGATGATATAAAGTCCAAGTGTACAATTACAGTATTATATACTGTGGGATTTTGATAGGTGTTGAATTGGTTTCAATCTAAACCGCTCGCTCCTATATATAAACTAAGGTTTTTAGGCTAATTGATATACATATTTTTATATTCCCTTTCTATATTCCATGAATATATTTCTTTAAATTTTTTCTCAACAAAATAATGAATATTTTAAGAATATACACTGCCAGATACTAGATAAAAAAACTCTTAAGTTCTACACACTTGTTCTAAAGAACAACAAAGGAATATTAAGCTTCCAAAATGGTAAGGAGAAAATATAAAAATTAATTATTGTTAAAATCTCTTATTCTCAGCCAACAATTTTTTCTAATGAAATGTGTTTGAATGAGATACACATAATATTCTTTTATTAAACATAATATATATTAGTTCACCTTAGTGGATCAGTATTAACACCTTATGCCAACTGATGATCCTGACATTTCCAATGCTCTCAAATTTCATTGTGCTCAGCAGCACAAAAGTCTTGGTGGTCAACACTGAAGATCTCGTCACTCCTGCTGGCATAAGTTGTCGATCATAGATGTGGAACTGCCATGTTTGTAGGTGCTGAAGCTGCTGAAACAGTTTGCTAGATCACAAATGTCTGCTTGGAAATATTTGATCAGGTGAGCCTTTTTTGGTTTTTCAACTTTGGTGAGTCAGATCATTAAATCCCCGCCTATATCAGAAAAAGTAGAAACAAAGAAATGGAAATGAAACTGTTTGTTCAGCAGTAGTGGTTGTACCTTTGCTTCGATAGCTTCATATCATGGGCTCTCCTGAGGACGTCGGGAAGGCTTGTTCGAGCCAATGCGCTCCAAGTATGGGTTACCACGTTGTCAGGGAGAGCTTGAGAGTGTATAGAGTCATCACATTTTCTGGCGATTTAATATACTAGCCCAGCACTATCATGATATCATCGTGGGTTCCAAGCATCTGGAGCCATGGCAAACGTCTACTCGAGCGTCGAGAGGCTGGTGGCCAAGGAGCTGCTCACGAATCTACGACTCCACCGTCTTCCACTGGTTATGCAACAACTCAATGTTAAAGGTGGATTTTCGCGATGGAAGGCAATGAAAGTTGAGAACATCGGCAACCTCCGCAATGAAAAGATTGTCATCACTCCGGCTCAGGTAAGTGCCTTTATTGTAGATGCTGGAGCTGGTTTCGAAGAATGCTCTCATGGATGTCTTCCAGGCCGATCTCGTGATCACTTTCATTTTGTGTTTTCATCGTTTAGTTAGACCTTTGGCACTGAGCGAATCGGAAGTACTACAAATTTGAAAACGTAATCTAGCTTAGAGCTAGCACATATATCATAGGCTCTTGGCTGTGGCTCTGAATCTCGCCGCTATATGACTATATGACGACGAGCAGCTTTGCTACGTTTAAGCTCGGGATCAAGAACTTACACACCGGAAATTAGGGTTCTTCCGTAGCCGCGGCACGGCGACCGCGAGGCGGCGGCAGGGAGAAGCTGCCGCGGATTGCGCGCACGGAGCTCAATGGCGTGCTGGCAAGGGATTGTGTGATGCAGTTCCATGCCGAGCGGCATCTTTGAGCTACCGCGATGGCGAAGAATGCCATCCCGAGCTTGAAGCGGTCCAGCGCCGGGAATGCCTGGCGGAGATTGACCGGCAGAATGTGAGCGATCTAGCGCTGGGCTATGGATCGCTCCTCCGCTGGTGCTGCCGCCACAAATCCCTGGAAGATGGTAGGAGAGTCCACAAGCACATTGTCGAGAATAATCTCATGGTGAACAGGTACCTGGGCAACTTCATGATCGCGGCGTGCGTGAGGGGGGGCCGCCCCTTGCAATCGCTGGAGCTCTGGGGGGAGATGGAGGAGCGAGGCATCGTCGCGGACAAGTTTATAGTGACGAGCTTGGTGGCGGCTTGCACCAAGCTCCAGGCGCTCGAGGAGGGGCGGCGGCTCCACGAGCACCTGATCATCACGGGCTTCCGGACGGACATCCCGCTCGAGACGGCCTTGCTCCAGATGTATGGTAAGTGTGGCAGCCTCGACGATGCGAAGAGGGTGTTTGAGGGGATGGAGATCAAGGACTTATTCGCGTGGTCGTCGATCATCGCGGCGTATGCTCGCGCCGGGCGGGGAGAGATGGCGGTGGTGCTGTACAGGAGGATGATCGCCGACGGGGTGGAACCCAACGTGGTGACTTTCGCTTGCGCTCTTGGTGGCTGTGCTAGTGTTGCGGGCCTGGCTGATGGACGAGCGATCCACCAGAGGATTCTAGCGTCCAAGGTTCCGCAGGACGATGTTCTACAGGACTCTCTGCTCAACATGTATCTCAAGTGTGACGAGATGGTGGAGGCCAGGAAGGTGTTCGAGGGGATGAAAGCCAGGAACGTCAGGTCCTACACGGCGATGATATCGGCCTACGTCCAGGCTGGGGAGCACGCGGAAGCTCTGGAGCTCTTCTCCAGGATGAGCAAGGTGGAGGCTATCGAACCGAACGCTTATACGTTCGCCACCATCCTGGGTGCTGTTGAAGGGCTGGGGAACTTGGAGAAGGGGAGGAAGGTCCACAGGCACCTGGCTTCGCGGGGATTCGACACGAACGTTGTCGTCCAGAACGCGCTGGTGACAATGTATGGGAAGTGTGGGAGCCCGGTGGAAGCTCGGAAGGTCTTCGACTCCATGACGGCTAGGAACGTGATCTCCTGGACTTCGATGATCGCGGCCTACGCTCAGCATGGGAATCCACAGGAGGCTCTCAACCTTTTCAAGAGGATGGACGTGGAGCCGAGTGGTGTGAGCTTCTCCAGTGCTCTCAATGCCTGCGCACTGCTGGGAGCTTTGGACGAAGGCCGAGAGATTCATCACCGAGTCGTGGAAGCCAATCTCGCGTCCCCGCAGATGGAGACTTCCTTGCTCAGCATGTACGCGAGGTGTGGAAGCCTGGACGACGCGAGGAGCGTGTTTAACAGGATGAAGACGAGAGACGCCTTCTCTTGCAATGCGATGATTGCCGCCTTCACACAGCACGGTCTTAAGAAACAGGCACACTCAGGATTTACAGGAAGATGGAGCAGGAGGGTATTCCAGCCGACGGAATCACGTTCGTGAGCGTCCTGGTTGCTTGCAGCCATACTTCACTCGTGGCTGATTGTCGAGATTTCCTCCAGTCTTTGGTGATGGACCACGGGGTGGTACCATTGGTGGAGCACTACCTTTGCATGGTGGACGTTCTGGGCCGCTCGGGAAGACTGGGAGACGCCGAAGAGCTGGTGGAAACTATGCCATATCAAGCAGATGCAGGGGCCTGGATGACTTTACTGTCGGGTTGTAAGTGCCACGGTGACTTGGATCGTGGCAAGAGAACCGCCAGGAAAGTTTTCGAGCTAGCACCGGCAGAGACTCTCCCTTACGTCTTCCTCTCCAACATGTACGCGGCTGCCAAGTGATTTGACGACGCTCGAAGAGTCCGGAAGGAGATGGAGGAGCACGGAGTGACGAGGCCAGTGGCAGTAAGCTGCATCGAGATTGACAGCGAGCTACACATGTTTACGAGTGGTGGTAGAGACGAGCAGCAAGAGGGTCACGACGGCCAGACGATGGAGAGGTCCGGTCCCTGCTGCTGGAACTTTTAGAGCCCATGAAACAAGCTGGATACGTCCCCGACACGAGGGAGTTTACTTGGAGCAGCAGGGTGGCACAAGCGAGGAGGAGAAACAACGTAGCCTGTGCTTCCACAGCGAAAGGCTTGCCATCGCCTACGGACTGATCGCTGCCAAAGATCCAGACGATTCTCGTCCGCTGAGAGTCGTCAACAGCCACCGGGTGGGCTCCGACTGCCACTCTGCGATCAAGCTCCTCTCAGATGTCACTGAGAAGAGGATTTTTGTGAGAGATGGGAGCCGGTTCCACCACTTTGAGAAGGGAGCCTGCTCGTGTGGGGATCACTGGTGAAGTTACGTTTCTTTTGTTTCACCATATGTCCACGTGGTGGGCTCAGTTGGCGGGGGACAAAGTCAGAACAAGAAAATCGCGCCGCATAAAGGTACGTCGCAAAGTCAAAAGTTCCTATCGTTTCGTGTCTTTGTGGCGCACCTTGACTGACTGATGGATTGCAGGGCTCTCCATCAAAATCCGGAAGAGGAGTGAAGTAGTAACAAGTTGCAGATGATGGAACTCATGATCTGGCTGATCCTGTTGAGCATGCTTGGATCCTCTACAGCGTCACTCAACGCACACAAAGCTGGGGTCTTGGTTGCATTGAAAAGGAGCCTCCTGGGACTGGGAAACACCTCAGACTGGACTGTGGAAAACTCCAATCGAGCATGCACC